AGAGAGAGAGAGAGAGAGAGAGAGAGAGAGAGAGAGAGAGAGAGAGAGAGAGAGAGCTTGACATTACATGTAATTGACTTTTTTCATTGTTGCCAAAACATCTGATGCAGCCATCGTCAAGGGTGCGTATAGGCCGCACTCAGTTGCACTCAGTTCGAGAGCACTGGAGAAAAAGAGAGAGAGAGAGAGAGAGAGAGAGAGAGAGAGAGAGAGAGAGAGAGAGAGAGAGAGAGAGAGAGAGAGAGAGATGGCGTGATGCGGCATGTCTTGGATGCCTCATGTATTTGGGGTTGGCAGCAAACATGGCATGGAGCTGCACATGCGATCAAAAAAGGAAACGGGGCAGCCCACATGTGTCTGTGGCTTCGGTTGTGTGTGGAGCCATCTCCAGAAGAAAGAAAAAAAAGAAAAAGAAAAGGCTGCCCGCACAGGCATTTCCCATTGGCCACTTGCACAACCTTCGTTATTCCCGTACTGGTTTGAAAATGGCTGCATGTGTGGCTATCATGCCTTTTTTCCCCTTTTTTCCTTCATAAAGGATATTGCGAGGATCTGGGTCCTCCGCAGGCCTAAGGGCCCCCTGCTGCATCTGTGCCCACCCTAAGTGAAGGCGGGCCTAACAAATTACGAGAGGCCCTCGGCTGTCATTTTCGTATTTGGGGTCCAGGCAGTTTCGTCGCGCCAGTTGGTTGAGGAAAACACAGGCCGAGCAGCGAGACCTTCGACGGCCTTCCAGGCCTTTCCGAAATGATGCAGGCCCTCGACGAGAATGGCAGTCTCATACACAGACAGTTGGGAGGCCCAACCGAATGAGGCCCAGTAGCTGCAAGAGAGGCGCAGCATCCTGGGGCCCACCAGAAGCTTCTGGGCCCAGGCCAGTCCAGCCAGGCTGCCGAATGAGGCAGGCTCTTTCCATATAGGAAAGAGCTCGCTGCCTGGCCAGGCATTCAGGCACTCGCATGCTGGCGGCAGTGCTGCTAGAGCTGAAGCTCGTGGGCTGCTGCTAGCGCGGAGAGGTGAGGTGCAAGCACGTGCGGTCGTGCAAGGAGGAGGGTGCTGATGAGGGCAGCGCCATAGCCCAGCCTGCATAGCTGGCGGGCTTGAATGTACAGTGAGGCGCAGGGGTGGTCTTCGGGTGTACAACAAGGGAAGTCGTGGTAGAGAGTCAGGGGAGAGAGAGAAGGATGATGATGATGATGATGTGAGGGCACATACCTCGTATTGGCAATGGTTCTGCATGGGCGACATCTTCAAGTACTTCGGAGGCTGCTGACGTCAACAGTTGCATTGTCAAATAGTAGGCTAGTAGTAGCTGTGTAGGGAGTAGGCTGGGCGCCGAGCGCCAAGTATGGAGATAGGGACTGGATACATATGTTGGTGGTGGCGAGAGCAAGCTCTCATTGACATTGGCTTTCAGTGCTACCATTCTCCAGTGGTGTCATATTGGTGCAATGCTACTTTCTGAACACTGTGATACGATCTGGCTTTCAATGTGATTGTGCAATCTGAATATTGTCATTCGCTTCTGTTCATTTTCCTTGCAATATGGTGTGGGTGGGTAATAGTCAGCTTCAACAGAGATAGCCTGGCAGGTGCCCACCTCAGAGTATCAGTCGTTGGGCCGTGGTTGGTGCCCACCTGCAGCTGGGGTGCATTATCGCTTACAGTATCATCTGTCAAGGGACTCTCCAGACTCTCGAGGGTTCAGCAGCTTCAGCTTCCTGATCGGTCAATGACAGCCCAACACCACAGTCTACCACAACCCCCCATTTGTTGTCCTTTTCTCCCTTCCTGCCTACTGTTCACAGGGCAGTTACTATGATATAGTCCCGTCTTTTTTTCCTTTTCTGCTCTTCTGCCTATGGTTCAGTGAGCAGTTTATTGTCACAATATATATGCTTGGCAAAGACCATACCTGTGATGAACCGTCCAAACATGGACTGAAACACACAGCTGATTTCTGAGTTTGCTCATAGACTGAATGCCCTGCTGAGTTTCCTGCTTGCTACTAAGTCTGTGTGTGCACGCTTGCTGGACTGCATGTCTGTCTGAGTGCTGGTTGGCTTGAGTGTGTGTGTGGCCGTGCCTGTCTGAGTGCTGGTTGGCTTGA